GAATTCCATTGATCTAGATAGGTCTGGCACCTAGATAGTAACAACAACAACAACAACAACAATAATAAAGTTGGAAGGGACCTTGGAGGTCATCTAGTCCAACCCCCTGCTCAGGCAGGAAACCCTATACCATTTCGGACAAATGGCTGTCCAGTCTCTTCTTAAAAACTTCCAGTGTTGGAGCATTCACCGCTTCTGAAGGCAGATGGTTCCACTGGTTAATTGTTCTCACTGTTAGGAAGTTTCTCCTTAGTTCCAGGTTGCTTCTCTCCTTGATTAGTTTCCATCCGTTGCTTCTTGTCCTGCCTTCAGGCGCTTTGGAGAATAGCTTGACTCCCTCTTCTTTGGGGCAGCCCCTGAGATACTGGAAGACCTCTATCATGTCCCCCCTTGTCCTTCTCTTCCTTAAACTAGACATACCCAATTCTAGCAACCGTTCCTTATATGTTTTAGCCTCCAGGTCCCTGATCATCTTTGCTGCTCTTCTCTGTTGAACTTGAGTTGACCAGGTTCTCGTTGATGGACTTGAATCAATTATCTATGTGCAACCTAACCCATGGTCCTGATTCCTTGCACCTGGCACTTCCCTTGCCCTGCCCCCACCCATTAATTCTCTCATTTCATTCGCTGATTGTTGTCAGGAAATTCCTCCTTAATTCCAGGTTGTTTCTCTCCTTGATTAGCTTCCATCCATTGCTTCTTGCCTTCTAAGGCAGGGGTCCTCAACCTTGGCAACTTTAAGACTTGATGACTTGAACTCCCAGAATTCTTAAAGTTGTCAAGGTTGAGGACCCCTGCTCTAAGGCACCCAGAGGCAGGACAAGAAGCAACGGATGGAAACTCATCAAGGAGAGAAGCAGCCTAGAACTAAGAAGAAATTTCCTGACAGTTAGAACAATTAACCAGTGGAACTACCTGCCTCCAGAAGTTGTGAAGGCTCCAACACTGGAAGTTTTTATGAAGAGATGGACAGCCATTTGTCAGAAATGGTATAGGGTTTCCTGCCTGAGCAGGGGGTTGGACTAGAAGACCTCCAAGATCCCTTCCAACTCTGTTACTGTATCTGATGGCTCTTGCTTCATGGGCCGAGCAATCTGCAGAGCTGTCAGGAAAAGCAAATGAAGCCTCCAGGATCAGCAGGATGAAGCCCTTGGAAAGAATAAAGTTATAAGAGTGGCTATGAGGTTGCCAAAATTTGCTGTACTGGGGGTGGTGCCCCCCCTTACCTAACACTTGTCCCATCGAAGGGGGCAGCTCCGTCAAGAGGAAGAGGAGGCCGAGACGCAGGAGGAGGCCGTGCGCAGCCTTCATGGTGCTGGTTCAGGGGGAATGTGCGCTGGGGCTGGAGGGATGGGTATTTAAGTCCTGTTTTCAGGAAGTGAGAAGGCCAATTGAAGAAGCAAGGGAAATGGACAGCTGCCAAAATACCTTTCTCAACACATCACAACTGCTAGTTTTTCCCTGGATGGGACAAATAGGTGGGGCAGATAACCCAGATCTTTATCAACGGAAGCCCATCGTGTTTGCAAGTGGACTTTGTGCAGGGCAGAGCGGGTGAGCCTGAGGTTGCTGCTCCTTCCCGGATCTACATGTTTGCACATTGGAATTACAAAGTGTACCTTGACTAAAGCCATTGGATGTCACAGTCATAGCTGGGGCTTAGCCAGTTCCATCTGTTTTGCAACATGAAGGCCGGGGGTGAAAGTGATTAGCAGGTGAGGAAATAGGGAGGCATCCAGAAAACCAGGATGTTCAGGATACTGACAGGAAACGAGCAGCACCCAGACTCAGCTGGGAACCTAACTCTCCAGCAAGCGGGGTTGGTGGATCCTTGGTTAGGGCCTTATTTTCTGTTTGATAATTTGTCTGGTATAGAATAGAACAGAATAGAATTCTAGTGCCATGGTTCCGACAGATGAAACTCTTCAAAGAAGTTTGAAGCATTGTTTACCTTAAAGAATCTTTACTGGAGAAGGATAGTATCAGCACTAACACAGTCGAAGCCAAAAACTGGATTTCCCTCCCTTGAGCACATAGTATCAAAGCACAATTCCTTCCTCCAATTAACAGTCATAAATCACATTCCCCAATTAGCTTAAAATGCAGGTTTTCCCTCCAGTTCCCCAGCCTGCCAATTCTTATCATCTCCTATTTCAATAACCTTGGTTCTCACACTAGGTCCAGTATTGTTATGTCTAGCTAAACTCTCATGCACATTCCTCCCCCCATCATCTAACTCTAACTCTAACTCTAACTCTAACTAACTCTAGAGTAAAATCTCTTCTTAAAAACCTTCAGTGTTGAAGCACCCTCAGCTTCTGGAGGCAGGTTGTTCCACTGGTTAATTGCTCTGACTGTCAGGAAATTTCTCCTTAGTTCCAGGTTGCTTCTCTCCCTGATTTAGTTTTCATCCATTGCTTCTTGTCCTGCCTTCAGGCGCTTTGGAGAATAGCTTGACTCCCTCTTCTTTGGGGCAGCCCCCGAGAGATTGGAACACTGCTATCATGTCCCCCCTTATCCTTCTCTTCATTAAACTAGACATCCCAAGTGGGCTCAAAATATTCAAGAACCAATTCTATTAGATACATGGGAGACAATTTGGGTTAGAAATGTAAAATTTACTCAAGCTCAAAATTTAAGAGAAAATTTTTATAAAATGTTTTATAGGTGGCATCTGGACCCACAAAAGTTGTCCTATATGTATCCTAATCTACAGCCCAAATGTTGGAGATGCGGTAGTTTAGATGCAACTTATTTTCATATCTGGTGGACTTGTAGAAATATAAAAGCCTTTTGGATTAAGATTTGGTGGAACATTCAAAAGATTTTTAAGAGAAAGATAAAGTTTACGCCACAATTATTTCTGTTAGGCGTTATTGAAGATTGTGATGTTAAAGAAATTAATTTGATGTTGAATCTTATAACAACTGCAAGATTATTGGTCGGGCAATATTGGAAGAAAGATTCTTTGCCCATTATGGAAGAATGGATTCTTAAGGTGTCTAATTTAGCAGAAATGGTAAAAATTTCTGCTTATTTGAAGGACTATTCACAAGAAAGATATATTTCGGTTTGGAGAAGATGGATAGACTATATTCAAAATAAATATGGGAATAAAAAGTTTCATTTACTTTTTGAATAATGAGTATTATTATTATTATTATTAGTTTATTATAGTGGAATTTTTATTATATCGTATTGTTTAAGAATTAGGATATTAGTTTATGTATTATGCTTATTTAGAATTTGTTTATTTTATATTAAAAGGGAGTTAAAGTGTATTATGGATTTGGTTTTTATATAGTTGGTTAATGTTATTTAGATTATGATTGTCATATTTGTAACCCTGTATTCAGCTCTGGGAAGTGTGGGAGGGGAAGGGGGGGTTGTTTTGTTGTAAACTTTTGTAAAACTTTTCAATAAAAAAAAAAAAAAAACTAGACATCCCCAATTCCAGCAACCGTTCCTCCTATGTTTTAGCCTCCAGTCCCCTGATCATCTTTGTTGCTCTTCTCTGCTCTTTTTCTAGAGCAGGGGTGTCAAACTCACCACGTCATGTGATGTGTCGCAATGTATTGCAACTTTTTCCCCCATTGCCGGAGCTGGGGTGGGTGTGGTTTCGGCATGATGCATCTGGCCCGTAGGCCGGCGGTTTGACACCCTGTTCTAGAGTCTCAACATCTTTTTTATATCATGGTGGTCAAAACTGGATGCAGGATTCCAGGTGTGGCCTTATTAGGGCATTATAAAGTGATACTAATACTTCTGTCCCTCTGTTGATGCAGCCTAGGATTGTGTTGGGTTTTTTAGAAGAATTAGAATTAAAATAACATTGTTGGAAGGGACCTTGGAGATCTTCAAGTCCAGCCTTTTGGGGGCCTCTTCAGTGTTAAATAACAAGAAAGAAGAAAGTTGGTAAGACAAGCCAAAATAAACAAGCGTGGATCAAAAAAGAAAAGAAAAGAAAAGAAAAAAGCTGATGGGGAAGCAGAAAAACTGAATGCTCTGGTTTTAGTTTATTAGTGTAGTAACTTGTAGTTGGTCTGCTTTGCTGTGGGTAGCTGAAACTTTCTGATTTTTATAATTTCTGAACTGCTAGCAATTCCTAAGCGGCTTTAAAAAGAGCCCTTCTTTGACCAAAGAGGGAGTCCAGATGCAGAAGGAACTATTAGAGATATATTTGAAAGCAACTAGCTGGAGCAGGATCCTACCTCCGAGACCTTCCCACCACAGCCCAGCTATTTCCTTCTGGGATCAACCTCTCAGGACCCTGAGCTGGACTTTATACCTGGGCTCCTCTCTCTTGACTTAGGAACGGGAAAGTACACCTCCTGTTTCTAGCAAATGGGAAGCCCTTGTGGGCTTTATTCCTTCCCCATCCGGAAGGGATTCCAGGGAAAGAATAGAATAGAATTAGAATTAGAATTAGAATGGAATGGAATGGAATGGAATAGAGTAGAGTAGAGTAGAGTAGAGTAGAGTAGAGTAGAGTAGAGTAGAGTAGAGTAGAGTAGAGTAGAATTAGAATTAGAATTAGAATAATAGAATGGAATGGAATGGAATGGAATGGAATGGAATAGAATAGAATAGAATAGAATAGAATAGAATAGAATTACAATTACAATTACAATTAGAAATAGAATAGAATAGAATAGAATAGAATTATAGAGTATAGAGTAGAGTAGAGTGGAGTGGAATGGAATGGAATAGATTAGAATAGAATAGAAATAGAAATAGAAATAGAAATAGAATAGAATAGAATAGAATAGAATAGAATAGAATAGAATAGAATAGAATAGAATAGAATTACAGAGTAGAGTAGAGTAGAGTATAGAGTGGAGTGGAGTGGAGTGGAGTGGAATGGAATGGAATGGATTGGATTAGAATAGAATAGAATAGAATAGAATAGAACAGAATAGAATTAAATAAAAAAGAATATAGAAAAATAGAATAATAGAATAGAATAGAATAGATTGTAGAATCGAATGGAATAGAATAGAATAAAAAATATGGAATGGAAATAGAAATAGAAATAGAAAAGAATAGAATAGAATAGAATTACATTTACAATTACAATTAGAAATAGAATAGAGTAGAATAGAATAGAATAGAATAGAATAGAATAGAATAGAATAGAATAGAATAGAATAGAATTACAATTACAATTAGAAATAGAATAGAATAGAATAGAATAGAATAGAATAGAATAGAATAGAATAGAATAGAATAGAATTACAGAGTAGAGTAGAGTAGAGTATAGAGTAGAGTAGAGTGGAGTGGAGTGGAATGGAATAGAATGGAATGGAATGGGATGGAATAGAATAGAATAGAATAGAATAGAATAGAATAGAATAGAATAGAATAGAATAGAATAGAATAGAATAGATTGTAGAATCGAATGGAATAGAATAGAATAAAAAATATGGAATGGAAATAGAAATAGAATAGAATAGAATAGAATAGAATAGAATAGAATAGAATAGAATAGAATAGAATTACAATTACAATTACAATTAGGAATAGAATAGAATAGAATAGAATAGAATAGAATAGAATAGAATAGAATTACAGAGTAGAGTAGAGTATAGAGTAGAGTAGAGTGGAGTGGAATGGAATGGAATAGATTAGAATAGAATAAAATAGAAATAGAATAGAATAGAATAGAATTACAGAGTAGAGTAGAGTATAGAGTAGAGTGGAGTGGAATGGAATGGAATAGATTAGAATAGAATAAAATAGAAATAGAAATAGAATAGAATAGAATAGAATAGAATAGAATAGAATAGAATAGAATAGAATTACAGAGTAGAGTAGAGTATAGAGTAGAGTAGAGTGGAGTGGAATGAAATGGAATAGATTAGAATAGAATAAAATAGAAATAGAATAGAATAGAATAGAATAGAATAGAATAGAATAGAATAGAATTACAGAGTAGAGTAGAGTATAGAGTAGAGTAGAGTGGAGTGGAGTGGAATGGAATGGAATGGAATGGAATGGAATAGAATAGAATAGAATAGAATAGAATAGAATAGAATAGAATAGAATAGAATAGAGCTGGAAGGGACCTTAGAGGTCTTCTAGTATAGTCCCCCGCTCAACAAAGAGAACCTACACCGACTGTCTAGTGAATATCTAGCCTCTTCTTAAAAACCTCTGTGATCGAATGCCCACGATTTCTGGTGGCAAGCTGTTCCACTGATTAATTGTCCTCCCTGTTAGGCAGTTTCTCCTTAATTCCAGGTTGCTTCTCTCTTTGATCAGTTTCCAACCATCGTTTCTCCTCCTGCCCTCTGGTGCTTTGGAGAATAGGTTGACCCCCTCTTCCTTGTGCCAGCCCCTCAAATACTGGAATTCTGCTTTCTCTGCTGGCTTTGCACAGTCCTGCAGCCCCCTCCCCAAAAAACAGAGGGGGAAAGTTACAACTCCCCCTCTGGATACCAAGAGAAGTCCTCTTTCCTTGGGTCTCCTGCCAGTTACCCAGAATTCTTAAGTGAAATTCAGAATTGCTACAAGGAGTGAGGTTGACGTTCTTAGCTGGGCCACTCAGCACACACACACACACACACACACACACACACACACACATACACACGGGCTAATTCTGGGCTGGGTCCTTGGTAGTCCTGGGACTGCATACAGCAGAGGGGACAAGTTATACCACCCCCAAATAAGCAGAGACAAAGAGCCAAGCAGAAAACTATATCCTAATCAAGGACCTACCAAGGAGAAAACGCAGCCCATCAACACTGGCAAAGGAAACCACTAGATACAGCAATAACCATAGCACTTAAGACTGGTATACTGCTCCATTGTGCTTTACAGCCCTCTCTGGGCAGTTTACAATATTTTGCATCTTGCCCCCAACAATCTAGGCCCTCATTTTACCAACCTTGGAAGAATGGAAGGCTGAGTCAACCTTGAGCTGGGCAGACTTGAACTCCTGGCTGCAATATTGCATTCGAACCATTGCGCCACTACGGCTCTTTTAGATATAAATAGCGAGCAAATCTTATTCCCTCCTAGCCCTGAAGTTGTTACCTATCTGGGTCATGAAACGTTTACAAGACAGCAGAGGGTTAGAGTGGATGACCTTCAAGGTCTCTTCCAATTCTGATTCTGCGATTCTGTGAAACAGCTGAGCTTAGAAAGCACCCAGGACCCCACAGTTCAATTCCGAATCGCGAATATTCTCTTGTATTCAAACAGTCCGTCCGCAGCTCCTTCTCCACTTACCAACACAGGTGTAGCGACATTGATCCAGGGTCTTAAAATTGTTGTCGTTCCCCTTGCATCCACCGTAAATAAACGGTTGACATTGGTTTGAAGCCTGGTTGTAGTAGAAGCGAGGCATTTTGGCTTTACATGGTCCAGTTTCAGCAGGAAGATAACAAAACTCTGTGACAAATCGAAGGAGGGACATTATTCGATTGGCTAGCCCAGAAGTCTTCAACTCACTTTCCCAACCTGGTGCCCTCTTAGCATGCTCAGTCTGCGAACACCTAAGATGTATTAATTTGGTTTCCTGCTCTGGGGGAGGGTCAGACTAGATGGCTGAATGATGGATCCTGTTTGGGTCTTTGGTGCTTTCTAAGCTTGGATGTTGGGTAGTGTTTTGAAGACATTTCATCACTGAAAAAAGGGAACATCCACATGAGCCCTGATGATGTTACCTAGTTGGGACCATGAGAAGTCCACAAGAAAAGAACCAAGCTCAGAGAGCACCAAGGATCCCTCATGTCAACCCTGAGCTGCAAATATTATCCTGTATTAATCTGCCTTGAGTGAGGATAGGAGAGCCTTCCCCTAAAACTGCATTTCTCTTTCTGTCTCCTCTTCAGCTGACACCCAACTACCATCTCAAGAACCTTCCAAAAAGTAGCTTCACCAAGCCAGAGGTTCTAGACTGGGACTCTTGGTTTTCCCTCCCTGGGGGAGAACTCTGCCCTCTGATCACTTCAACCCCTCCCAGAAAAAGGTTTCAAGATCATTCTGGAAACTCACTTGGACGGTCCTGGCCGGAGACGGGGGTCAGCTCTGCCCAGAGGGTGAGGAGTCCCAGCAGGAGAAGAAGACTTCCAGAAGACATGGTGATGCCGTCTGCCCCACACCTGGGCTGCTCACTCTATTTATTCTCCCCACTGGGAATTTCACCCCTGCAGATCCAGGAAGTAGGATGACCCAATGCAATGACAATACACATTCCTTTCTCTTTCACAAGATGGTGACTCTATACCATTTCAGACAAATGGTTGTCCAGTCTCTTCTTAGAACTTCCAGTGTTGGAGCATTCACCGCTTCTGGAGGCAGGTTGTTCCACTGATTAACTGTCCTTAGTTCTAGGTTGCTTCTCTCTGTCAGACCCAGCGTGCTACCCACCTTCCGATAGCCCCGTTACCAGTTCGGAATGTTCCAGCGGATGTTCCACGCGCTCCCAGCCAGGTCCGGTGGCTTCGTGGGCTGCACCGCCATCACAGCTATGGAGTTGGTGCTGGGATTTCCAGAGCGGCAACCGAGCAGGTCATGTGACCATCTGACGTCGACAGAAAACACCCGGACAGCTGCTATGCCACGATAGGGAGCGAGAGGGGCCGAATTGAAGAGACATGGTTTCGTTACTGACATGGCTAGGGTCGCTGGGTCTGACAAGCTTGGATGCTGGGACAGGGAGATGGGTGGTAGAGCGGAATGAGGTTAAGTCTGTTGGGGTTACTGTTACGTTTGGGATGGGAACAGTGTGAACGCAACACTTGGAATCAATGTATTGATGGGGTATGGGTGTTAGCTGGGATGGGGCGTGGTGCGAGTGGGGTTTAATTACGGGAGGTTATTGGGTGCGGCACGGGTGGAATCTAATTATGACCGGTAATTGGGGTGTGTGCTCTGGGCGTGGTGGTGTGATGTATTTAGGGCACTGGAAGGAGGTCCCTTCCAGTGCTAACTTCGTTTCAACATAGTGCATTAAACTTGTTGGATGCTGCAACGTTCCTGTCTCTTGGCTTTTGTGAAGCGCAGCTAGGACATTCTGATAGTAAGTTAGCACTCACCCCGAAGCCAATCGACTATTCGGCGTAATGGCGGAGGGGACACAGGGGGTGGATCCGTTGGAGGAGGAGTCGGTAGAACCCGCCGAGCAGTTGGAGGTCCCGGCAGTCATTGAAGCAGGAGAACCTCAGCAGGTCGTTCAGCCAAAGGAGAAGCCACAAGTTCCTGGGATCGCGGAGGCTGGGGCAAAACAACGAGGAACCACAGCTTCAGATGGAGAATGGTGGCTAAGTCCTGCACTGCGGCATCCCGAGGAGAGTGGGGAACGAGGGTTGGCGCCGAGTTTGAGTGGTTGGAGAGAACGCCGGGGGACTGGGGACGATGAAGAGGAATGGAGCTATTCCACGGCTCCGGGGCAAGACACATTGGATGTTCTTAGAGATCAATATGGGGAACAGGGTTATTCAGCTCCCGCTAGTCTTCTTCCCCAATCTAGAGTTGCCCCAGTGGCGCACAGATCATCTGACTCTTCTCATTTTCAATTGGCGAGTCCAAAGCTCAAGTTACAGCCAAGTAGCCGCTTTTCCCTACAGGACCCCTTGGCGAGACAGGGCACAGCTGAACGCTCCCAGTACGGGCAGGAGGCACGAGGGGCCGGAGTCCCACCGACGGCTCCGGTCAGGCAAGGGGCGGGACCAGCAGGCTCAGGAGGTCGATCCATGTTGCCTCCAGAAAACATCCCATAGGGAGATCAGGTGCCAGCCCCTTAGCCCCAAGCTGTGATGTGGAATCCACCTCCCATTGCACTCACCTTTGATGGTGATCCAGACCGACTGGCTGTGTTTTTGAGTCATGTGCTCAGCCATTTGGATCGTTTCACCACCCTATATCCGTCTAATTGGGCAATGGTGGTTGCACTGACAGCTAGCTTGCAGGGAGAAGCTGCCGCCTGGGCTGCTGACCTATATAGCGATCATGCCAGAGAATTGGCTGGTATAGGTCTATTTCTAGATGCCCTGAAAACCAGGTTTGAGGATTCAACCCGCATACAATGGGCAGAGGCACAGCTGTTCGGCCTGCGACAACGGGGCAGACCAGTGCAAGATTATATACGCGAATTCCAAAAAGTAGCAGGGAGGCTTAGGTCATGGCCAGATCGTCTGTTGGTCCATCACTTTCGAGCTGGGCTAGATATTGACTTACGCCGGGCATGTGTGGTCAGAGGGATCGTAGGGCGCCTTTCCGAATGGTTTAAGGCAGCTGTGGAGTTAGACGTCGGGTTGAGGGAATTTCCCGGAACACGTGAGGAACGGCCACAGCCCTGCCGGAACCAGGAACAGCCCAGGGACAGCACCAATCAGGCACCAGCGAGCAATGTGCTCCCTAAACCCATATTCCGGTGTTTCCGTTGCAACTGGCCGGGTCACCGCGCAGCGGAGTGTACAGTTCCCGAGCCGACTAGCACACCAACAGCAGTTGGCAGGCCCGGTGCTACACCAAAGAAGGTGACAGAGAAATCACGAGTTGCTCACCAAATAGGACAGACGCCTGCCCAACAAGTCCTAGGGGATGCTTCCCCGGCATTGGAGGAATATGAAGAAGAAGGCCTGATGGAAGATCCGATGGTGAGTGACCCCATAGTCCCGTTTACAATCCCAATAACGTTAACAAGCTCGGTTACAGGTGGGTCAGGGCTATTCCAGGCATTGATTGATACCGGGTGCACCCGCTGTTTAATTAGTAGGGAGGTGGCACGGCGGATGCGCATTAGGGTGACCCGGTTAAAGTCTCCAATTCGCTTTGAGCAAGTAGATGGGTCCCTGTTGGGGGGAGTCCCGGCCACCTTGGTGACAGAACCTGTAAGGATGGAAATAGGTGTCCATTGGGAGATTTATACGATTTATAGTGGTGCCTTCTATGTCCGAACCTATCATCCTTGATTTAGCGTGGCTAGATAAATGGACCCCGACCATGTGGTGGGCGGATGGATCCCGTCATTTGAGGCTTGCAGTGGGTCCCCAGCCACCCCACCCGCATGAGCATAGTGAGGATAGAGCGGTGGAGGGCTCAAAAATGTTGCAGGCTGGGAGTGAACCTGGATATCCGGCGGTGTACAGTGATCTGGCAGCCGTCTTTAGCGAACAAGAATGCAATAGTTTACCACCCCACCGGCCAACGGATTGTGCGATCGAGATCGTCCCTGGAGCCAAGTTACCGAAGCCCAGGATGTATCCAATGACCTGCTCGGCTCTATGAAATCCCTTGTCAGATTTTTATCTATGCATTTTCTCAACCCTTGCAGTTCCGAGAAGGTCATTGGATACATCCTGGGCTTCGGTAACTTGGCTCCAGGGACGATCTCGATCGCACAATCCGTTGGCCGGTGGGGTGGTAAACTATTGCATTCTTGTTCGCTAAAGACAGCTACCAGATCACTGTAAGGGGCTGCACCGCCATCACAGCTATGGAGTTGGCGCTGGAATTTCCAGAGCGGCAACCGAGCAGGTCATGTGACCATCTGACGTCGACAGAAAACACCGGACAGCTGCTACGCCACGATAGGGAGCGAGAGGGGCCAAATTGAAGAGACATGGTTTCGTTACTGACATGGCTAGGGTCACTGGGTCTGACAAGCTTGGACGCTGGGACAGGGAGATGGGTGGTAGAGCGGAATGAGGTTAAGTCTGTTGGGGTTACTGTTACATTTGGGATGGGAACAGTGTGAACGCAACACTCGGAATCAATGTATTGATGGGGTATGGGTGTTAGCTGGGATGGGGCGTGGTGCGGGTGGGGTTTAATCACAGGAGGTTATTGGGCACGGCGCGGGTGGAATCTAATTATGACCAGTAATTGGGGTGTGTGCTCTGGGCGTGGTGGTGTGATGTATTTAGGGCACTGGAAGGAGGTCCCTTCCAGTGCTAACTTTGTTTCAACATAGTGCATTAAACTTGTTGGATGCTGCAACGTTCCTGTCTCTTGGCTTTTGTGAAGCGCAGCTAGGACGTTCTGATACTCTCCTTGATGAGTTTCTATCTATTGCTTCTTGTCCTGCCTTCAGGGGCTTTTGGAGAATAACTTGACTCCCTCTTCTTTGGGGCAGCCCCTGAGACACTGGAAGGCTGCTATCATGTCCCGCCCCCTCGTCCTTCTTTTCATTAAAGTAGACATACCCAATTCCAGCAACCGTTCCTTATATGTTTTAGCCTCCAGTCCCCTAATCATCTTTGTTGCTCTTCTCTGCACTCTTTCTAGAGTCTCAACATCTTTTTTACATCGTGGTGACCAAAACAGGACACAGTATTCCAAGTGTGGCCTTACCAAGGCCTTCTAAAGTGTCGTTAACTCTTCACGTAATCTTCATTCTATTCCTTTGTTAATGTGGCCTAGGATTGTATTGGCTTTTTTAGAAGGTTCCTTCCAATTCTGTTATTCTGTTTGGTTTGGCTTAGAGCTGAAGCACCTTGTTGCAAATCCTTCTACCGAAACTTAAAACTTCCATTTTTACCTGACCCTTTGGTTACTGCTCTGGTTTTTCAGTTTCTCTGACACTTGTTCTGCTTTCCACACAGTAGTAATTTTCTTTTTTATTTTTAATTTGGGGGTAGGTTTCCTGTCAGAGTTCAGATAGCTTTAAAGATTATGACTGTTTTCAGCTAAAATTCCCCAAAGTTGTATTTCTTCCTTCCTCAAACACTTAAAATCTATGAAGACCTGTTCTCTCTCATTCCAGAGAGCGAAAAGGGTGTGTGAGTTACAGGAAGCAAAATCAATGGACTGAGGGGGGAAAATCCTCATTGCTAGAAGACTTGGACAACAAAGTCAATACAATGGGCTTCTTTTTACTGGGGGGTGGGGGTTCAAGCAGAGGCTGCAAAATCATCCACCCAGGAAACTTTAATCCAATTATCCAACTGCTTGAACTGCTTGAAAGATGTTGAGACTCTAGAAAGAGTCCAGAGAAGAGCAACAAAAACGATTAGGGGACTGGAGGCTAAAACATAGAAGGAACGGTTGCTGGAATTGGGGATGTCTAGTTTAAGGAAGAGAAGGACGAGGGGGGACAGGATAGCAGCCTTCCAGTATCTCAGGGGCTGCCCCAAAGAAGAGGGAGTCAAGCTATT